ATGTCATTTAAAGTATTTTTATTTTATTTTATTTTGGAAAAAAACAAACAGTACTATAATAAGTGTACATATGAAATCCTTAGAACTAAACTTAACTAACTAACCACTACATTATCCACACATTACCTTATAAAATAATTCCATCCAATTCGTTAATGGTACGGTTTTTTTTTTGAGAGCATCTACTCGTACATATATTGCATAGCACGAAAGTACTTACATTGGACCAATTCTATAGCATCGTTAAGTATATATAGATAGAATATGCTTTATTGTACACCAATTACAGTAAATATATGGATATTACAAAAAGATATGTAACTATAATAGGGGGCCTTATTGCTGAAAGCGATCTTATATAGTCAACCTTAGAATAGACAAATCGACAGTAGATAGAAGAAACAAAAAACAAGTATACTGATTAATGCAATAAAATATCAATCAATACATTTTTTAATGGTTTGTTACAGGTATAGGTATATAAGCAGTAGGTACAAAGGTAACATACCTTATTGGCCGAACAATGTATTTAACAATGTGAATAAATAAAAATGTAAAAAAGAGAAAAATACAGTAAAAATAAAAAATATAGGAAATACAATGGTAATTGAAATATAATTAAAATATGTGTGTCAATTTAATCCATAATGTGATAATAAGGAAATAATAATCATAAACTGTGTGAGTATCATTTAATGATACTGTCATTTAAAAAATAACTAATATTATAATAACATTAATTAATTAATATTGTTTAATATTTAATTATAAATATCTCCGTGTGGTGACGGATTAAGAATACAGAGTGCCACCACTATTCATCATGTGGGTGTCGTAAGAGCCGACTAAGGGAGCAAACTAGGACAACAGCACTTCAAAGAGAAGGAAAACTGGACAGAAACTCTATACGAACCCGTCTGGCCAGAGTGGTATAGCGGGCCGAGGCCTCTTTTCTGGGGAGAGGCCTGTGTCCAGCAATGGACTATTAAAGGCTGTTGATGTGAATTAATATTTTATGAATTTCTTTCTTAAAGTTTATAATGTCAATTTTTAGGGTTCCGTACCTCAAAGGGAAAAAACGGAAAACTTTTAAGATCGATTTGTTGTCCGTCTGTCTGCCCGTCCGTCTGTCTATCAAGACCCTTTATCTTGGGGACTTGCGGAGGTATAGAGTTGACAATAAAACCATAAACTGAGGTCTATCTACAGTCCCTTGAAGCTGTGAAAAAATCAAACTTTTAAGTTAACGTAAAATAAAGATACCGCCGTTTATGCCGCAATAAACGCATATTTCGACAGTTTCAAGCTAATCAAAATTTATAGGGTACTTCCCGTTGACCTAGAACTATGACATTTGACAAGTAATTTCGTCTTATACTACAAGTACAGGGAAAACTAAAATAAATATACATTTGTAATAAAATTTAAAAAAAACTTTATTTAAAGTACGTAATCAATCATCGAAGTACAATTTCACTTATAAAACACAATAATATAAGAAATTATAAGTTTCTTAAAATGAATTTCGGAAAAGCTCGGAAAAAAACTGCGAGTCTCGATTCCTGAACTATTCATAATATGTACGGAATCCTTGCAGGACGAGTCCGACTCACACTTGTCCGGATTTTTTTTAAATATAGTCAGACAATTAATTCTATATATTTTAAGCGCCATACCCAAAATACTTTTTTGTATTAGGGTTGTTTTATAGTTCCTGCTGTGAATATTGTTTTTATAATGTGACCTTAAGAGACGTATACGTACTTGACACAGTTTCGTGAAAAAACTCAGATGCCGTTTTACGAAAATTGCTACTTCGTATACCTATATATAAATGCTGCTTCGTACACATGCTGGGAAATGTTAGATTTCGCAGTGACTTAAACGCAACTGTCTGTAGGTCTGAGCCCACACATTACACGTAAACATTTTTTTTGTGCCCTGAACTCTAGCGCCCTCTTCGGTGAATTTCCCTAGAATATCTGGCCATATCTTGAAATGCGGGCTACTATACCATGATAGGCCGTTACTGTAGTTTTACTATTTGTAAACCCTATTATTAATTTCTGACAGTTTAAAGAATGCATAAGCTGCCTGGTTTTCTCTTTACAAATACTAGTTGCTTTTAATCCTAAGAAATTACTACTGTCCACTTCTTCTACAGCATGTCCTGCTTAATTAATGTGTTTTTTTTAGTCAATCTACGTTGACTGTGGGTTTTAATTGTAATAAATTTAAAATTCTTAATACTTAATCACTGAATAATGTCATTTCGTGCATTATTTATGTCATCTTAACTGTCCTCTGACATTCGGTCGACTAATTTTCCCAGCCAGTCGCGAGATATTGACGAAAAAGTCGTTTTTGCACCATTTTGCAATTTTTTTGCACCCTTTGCCGTCAATGCAATTTTAGTATATTAATCTACGAACCCTTACGGAAATTTTCGCGTTGGTTGCAGGTCATCAACTCAAAATGGCAAAGTTAAGCTTTCATTGACTGGACTATAGGCGATCTCTAGTATGAATTTAAATACGTATCAGTTGGCCAAGCTGTTACAACCGGTAGGGATATTAAAAATATTTTTCTATTATTCGAGAACAGTCAGTTCTTTTTCTGGATGCAAGTGCCTATAGTAACCTTTTCTTTACACCTGTAGAGTATGAGCAAAGTTATGATGATGAATTAAATAGTTAAACCGTAAAAGGGTATCGGTATTGGTTGTGGGCTCCGATTTTCGCAATTAGACTCGAGAATGGTCCTTTATGCGTCGAGGAAAGGCGAGAAGCGCAGAAGATTTTGTGTGTTTTTTGCTCGTCGTGTGGCCACTCTCTCGCATTCAGGGATTACGTAAAAGTCTAACAAATACATAAAGTTCGCATTTGTGTTTAAAATATTCTAATCTGGCACTCGTAGTGCAATCAAATGTAGACGTACCTATATATTTCAAAAGGTTAAAAAAGTCTGCCTAGTTTGGGATTAGACGACCGTGTGTGAGATGTGTGAAGTTATTATTATTATATGTGGATTCCAGTCTCTCTCAATCTCTTTTCTAAGTCACTACTGGCATTGGAGCCCCTTTTTTAATTACACTGTATGACTTTCGGTACCAAACGCGGTTAGTACTAGAAGTTATCAAATTACAAATTCACTAATGCCATGTATATTAAAATACACAAAGAAACGACATTTTTAGAAAATTTTGATTCATTTACATTTTGTTCTTTTGTTTAGTTTCTTATTTTATGACCCTCGTCAATTTACGAGTAAATGTAAAGGGTATGGTGGCCTATCGCCATCGAACGTAAAAAAAAATCGTAACTTATATTTCTGCATCTCGCAATAAAAGTTCTTAAGCTAATTAGTATGTGTAAACAACTTTTCAAGAACAGTTATTCAACATTTATTTGTATTCACAACGCGTTTTATCATAAGAGCATCCTAAAGGTTGTTTTAACCAATTTATCTGGAACCAATAAATCCGTCATCTTTGATCAAGTTCTATCAATCAATTTGGTCTTTTCTAAAACAGAAATACTCATCCTAGGTATAATTTTTGCTTATCTCGTTTGTAGAGACATATGAAGTTTGGCAAAACGAAGGAAACTTTACAAGCAGGCACCTAGCTTTACTGTCCTAAAAGGTATTTCAAAGAACATCTATGCAAAACTTATTTTCTTTGTCTAGCAATGTTCGATTCGCCTTCATTATGATAAATTGTATTGTTTCTTTAAGTTTCATCCCTTCACCTTTCATCCTTAAATTATTCTTTTAAAAAATACATTAGTCCGTTAAGTAAAAGAAAAGATATGGCGAAGATGCCGCGTAACATACAGGAAAACACAAAAAAATATCGGTACAGAATATCATGACAAACAAACTTATACATTTAAAAAGTTAAAAAGTTTGAACATACATATAGAATGTAAATAAAATAGCTATCCTTTAGGAAAACTTTTTAATTTATAAATAAGACAAATTACACATTGGTTACAATTATTTCAAAATTTAATTAATACTCGTATATATGTATATTGATACAAAGATTTTTTATACACCGACTTTAGTTAATCTTTGTTTAAAATGTCCTCCGCCGTTGTGCAATGTATTTTCAAAGAAATAAAAAATCTTCTAATCGAACACAATATTAGCTTTTCCAACAATTCCGACTTTGCACGAAATTTCCTTTAATTAATAAAATTCTCTTAGTCTTCTCACTCTAGCAACACACACACACAAATCTCACCAACTTAATATTTGTGGCAATTGGAAATTTACAATGTTACACACTGATAAATAATATATACGAGAACTAAAATATTTTTACAAAAATTATAAATCAAACATCCCGTAATAAAATGAAGAATATTAAACATTACTTTGTGTTCTTTATAAAATTCGGATTGATGATAAAAATAATTTACACAAAAAGTAATCTTCCCGTTGAGCGTATTAAATATTTCATTAACAGCTTTCACCAAAGTTGATCACATTTATACAGTATTTATATCTGCTATACGCCATAACTTAATCTACACCTATTTAATACAACCCCCTATTCGCACCCTGATTGGCTGAAATTTTCAACCCCTGTAACGTTCACCCAATCCCAGACGACTTCTCTAAAGAGAAGGGGTGGAGTCAGGGTGGTTTTCACAACGAGATTTTTGCGAAATCAAACAGTACTCCTCGGATCATCTCTCATATGAGACTTCTTTAGCTGTCCGAACTTTACTGTTATTTTCGTAGTTGATAACTTTTAAGAACTTTTATGTTTGTGATTTAAATTTCATTAAAATAACGTTCCAATTATTTACACGATTATTATATAATTTGCAGTTAAGTTAAACATTGTTTTTTTTTTGGAAAGTCAATTTCTCGATTCATTGTTGTCAGAAGTAAAAAGTGGCGTGAAGCGTGATTATCAAGCCACATGTTAAGAACTATTTGAGAGCAAAAATTTATAAGTCATAGAACCCCAGAACAGAATCAGAACCTCAATGGCAGGTCCATACTTGTCTCCTCTACCAGGAGACTTGCTAACCGAGTATATGTTTGGTCGTCGTCGGCAACGCCGGAACCGCACCACATTCACGCCGCAGCAGTTGAGCGAACTCGAGTCCTTGTTCCAAAAGACCCACTACCCTGATGTTTTCCTGAGAGAAGAAGTCGCCTTGAGGATCAGTCTGTCCGAAGCCAGGGTACAAGTGAGTATCCGTTGAATAGTACTTTTAAAGCAGTAACTTTGTCTTTTTGAACTATGAAAATATCATGAAGTAGGAGTCCAAATCAGTAGATAATATTAGAAAATTGTATTTCTTAGACTAGATGTTACTGATGTTTCTATAACAATAGAATAAAGTGTTGCAGCCATATTTCTGTGATCAGAAACACTGTTCAAATATTAATGGTAATCACCAACCCTACAACGCATAAAACGCATTGCACTATTTTCATACCCTGGGATCATTAGTCCTATGATAGACTATTTAAGCAGTTTCCTATATATCTTTGAGAAGACTAGGTTGCATCATCACGTCAAAAATGAGGTTATCTGCGTATTTAAACTGTGACTTTTTTTAACCCCGTTTTTTATTTCTATCTGTATGCAATATTGTGTTATATTATACTAATTGTGTCTCACTGGATAATATGTTTGACTGAAAGACTATATGAAATATTTTACACTATTTAATAAATCATCATTAGAGAAATAGCAACAGTAATGCAAAATATCATATTTAGTGAGAAATATAAAAAAGATTTTATGAAGATTTCACCAATGAGCATGATTTGAATTTAGTGCATTGTTTTAATTCAAAATCACAACAAAACTGAAAAACAACATTAATCTTTATTTAATACATTTAAAATCATTTTACAGATATAATGGAGTAACATTAGGAAAAATTCATTTGTAAAGTGCAGCGGAATGCGTTTAATTGTTTGCGCGACAAAAGAATGACAAATAACAAAACCGGGTGTCTTACGATAAAGTAAAAATTCTTGATGAAATGAGGAACGTGTTAATGAGACTAACAAATTAACTTCTTTTAATTTTAAACTCGTTACTGTAAAGAAATTAAATAATTTGCACATAGTAAAGTATGAGAGGTTGTTTTCTGGCAGGTTTCAATTTGATTGTTTCTTTTCATATTTATCATTTAAGAAATCCGTCATTAATGTACCAATTATGTCAATTCTTGTCTATATGGGAAGATATACTTCCCGTTTTGCGCCATTTAAAGTTGAAGGAAAATTCCAACCCTAAGGATAGAAAATGAAGAATACAGTTTACTGCAAATTATCATGATTACCGCATTATAGTCGCTGAAACTGTTTTAAAATTGAATTCTATTGTAAACGTTTCTAGATATAGTAGTTTCGTTTTGCATTCAATAAACAGATACTGATTAGTCTTGTTATTCAACTACCGTTTTGCAGATTTTAAATTATTTCATTGCATGATTGTGAAATGTCACTTGACAGTATTGTATTTGTCGTGTAATTGACGTGTGGTTTTAACGGAACTGACGATTGAAGTTATCGAAAAGAGCAGGTAAGTGGAGGTACCCAGACCTATACTAGAAAACGGATGGATAGGTATAGCGTGTGAATTACAGGCCATAGAAGCTTTTTATCGAATCTTGTGTCTAAGTTATCATTACAAATCTAGAGAATTGAATTTAAGAAGTTTTTTTACACAAGAAGGAAGGAAGGAAGGAAGGAAGGTTACAGTGTACCAGTTTTGAAAATAATTTGTACCTAACATTAAAACGAAAATAACACGTGGCATACTAATTTGGGGACATCTTTAGAAACTATGATAAAGTTTATGAGTTTTCATACAACGATGGTTGCAAACATGACCCGACTTGACATAATGATGCCTAATAACTCTACATGAATGGCAATCCTGACTCCTGGGGCGTGTTTTTTGTATGCTCAATATGATTTCTTAGATCATAACGTCTCGATCTGATCTGATCTGAAAAACTACATGAGAATTTAGTGACAATTAATACTTTTTCGATTATACTTTCATAGGTTGTTACTGTTGTAGATATCTCCCTCCAGCGGCTGCTTTTCTGCCGATTTTGTTTGAGCTAAACATGAACGGACTAGAATTTTAGGTCTAAATATGACATTTTAAATATTTAATGGCATAAATCGATCCCTAGTTCGAATTGCATGGATTCAATGCCATTCGAAAATCGTTTAAATTGTGCACTCCTGATTCGATGTTCATTCGATCGAATAAAACAAATCCTAACTATTAGTTAGAGTTTATTGATTTAGTTGTCAATATCATGCATACATATAACAACATAATGTATGGGATGCAATAAAATCACAATCACCTGTTTTAATCATAAGATTAAGGTATAAATCATATTAGCTCACCTGTGACTAATTTACAATACCACTGCAACTTATGATTAGATATGATTACCCTACGACCAGACTCGCGAAAGGTCTAAATATTAAAAGATCTCGTAGTCTTTGATATCTTTGATAATTTGGTGAAATAGCAGTGAATATAACAAATCATTTCAACATATGATTATGATTTTAAAATAGCAATAATTTCCATCACTAGGTACTCGTATACTGTGTCGTATAACTTATATATGTGTGATGATGTATGAGTGTGTGTAAAATTTTAAATCGTAATCGTAATAGTACGATCCTTACTTAAACTATGAACTATATAAGTTATGTATTAAAAACAACACCGTTGTTGTTTTTTAAGTTATCTTTCTTTTAAATACAGGTTGTTTTTTGTGTGCCTACGTATATACATATTTTTACTTTCGCATACAACAAGGAAACTTAGTAGTTTTACGAACATTTTACTAAATTAAATTAAATTTACATTTAAACCAACCATATGTTAACGATATAAATTATTATCTTTGATGGTAAACGGCAACATACCATCAAAAATACCTTTAGATATAGATTTTATATGTTGATTCACAGGTATGGTTCCAAAATCGTCGCGCTAAGTGGCGCAAACAGGCGCGCCTGCAGTTGTTGCAGGACGCCTGGAGAATGCGCTGTTTGGGGCTTGGCTCACCACCACTACCACTTACAGGTGTGTTAACTCTTTAGTTCTTTTCTTTATTTAGTTAAAGTAATCTGAATTACATTTTTAATTTCCCATCTTTTTCCATCTCTGTCTACTAATTTAGACTTAACGGCAGGGGATAAGACTCAGGCCTGGGTGGTGGTGGTGGCCTGGGGGTGTCAGCAGGGCAGGCCGGGGTGGCAGCGTAACGCCCTTTTTAGAGTAGAAAAGGAACTTCGTGGTTCCTACACACGAGAGGGTCATCTACAACCCGTAGATGGCCCGGTGGCCGTCGAGTACCAGGGATTTCTTTTCTAGGTAAACCTGGTTCTCCGTCTACTGGTACCCGAGGCGTGTGGTATTTAGTCGGTTCGAGTCCGACATAACCACCCCACCGGTTGACCAGTGGGTGGTATCCGAGGATGTTTCTGCACAGAAAAAAAGGGGATCAAGCCGGCACTATGAAAGCTAGATTGACTGAGAGAATGTTCATATACTTCTTTTTTGTAAATACATACATATTATACATAGAAAACCCCCAAACTCCGACCCGGGAATCGAACCCGAGACCTCAGCACAGCAGTTGCGTACGCTACTACTGCACCGGTAGTCAAAATCCTCTTAGTTTTGCTATTGAAAACTAGGTTTTTTTTAAACTTTAAGGAAGTCTACAAGATGTTTTCTGTTTTTTGTTCATAAGGAGTTAAATACAAAACTTTTATAAATACGGGAAATCAACGAATTCAAACTCACGAGCTCGCTTCATTACTGATATCTGCTATGTCTGCTGAAAGTTAAAAGAAGAGTCCACGCCTAAAATCATTTATTCAATTTTCTTTTAAATGGTGCTACACTACTGACTCAGATATTAACATGCTAATAATCGATTTTGAAATCAGATTTTAAAGATTGGCTTATTTCGTTATCAAACATAAATTAGTGAACAATTTTGTGAGTAGACAATACCTCCACCGTTAATAAATAAACATAATCGGACACATTACATAAGAGTATTTTCTTAATTACAGGTCATGGAAAACCATCTGACTCTTCACCAGAAGCACCAGATTCACCAGGCGATAAAGATTCTCCCGAGCCACCTAATGTTTTAGAAAACCGCGAACTTAAATCGCCGCGACAAGACCCATATATGCACAACTCCAACATGGAATCTCTACCTTCCTTACCTCCAAATGTTCACGATTTGCCAACTATGTCTTATGGTAATGATGATGGGAGGATGATCCAGCAACCGTTTACTTTCCCACCTTTAATGATGCCTCAGCCAATAGACTCCGAAATCGTTCCCACAGATTTGAGAGTAATGGCAAAACCTAATTGTCCATGTGGGACTTCAGTCCAAGATGTTAACGAACCACAAAACCTAGCCTACAGGAGACGTGAAAAGGAAAGCGATAGCGAAAGTGATACTGAAATAGATCTTACGTCTCATTCTAAGGACGATGATATTAGAGAGTCTGAGAGACTGGCCAGTCACATTGCGACGAGTATTTTCAGAAGTGATACAATATTGCACGATTTGGTGCCTAATGATTTGAGTACGAAGAATACAAATGATAGAATTAGGAGTAACAATGTTTCTATTTAATTTAACGTAAATTTATTATGTAGTGATGCTAATCAACTTAAACCGTTTTTAATAGTCATTTGAATTGTTCTCGTAATCTATAAAATATAAATCAATGTTTGTATGGTTGCGTTCTCTATCTATGCGTTCCGAAACCATGAAACTATGGAAATGCGGGTTCCTAGCCCAAAAATCGATACTTAAATGAATTATTTCGTTCCAGTCAAAGAAGAATGCCAATTATTTGTATGGAGATCTGTATCAACTTGCGTCAAAATTAATTTACTCTCAAGTCTGGTTTTTGTTTAACTTTTCACTGCCAACAAGATTTTGACGATGTTCAACCGCATTTTCGAAATATTAATCATTTAGGCACCATTTATAAGCGCGTTTACAAACAGTCACTATATAAGAGTCACTATCTCAACGATGTCCATGGTTATTATAGACTTAATAATGTAATTATTTAATAAAATTATCGTAGTTCTGTGACTTAAACGCAAAATAAAAAAACAGAAACACAAGTATTAACAAGACGCTATAACCAAGTTGACAATGAATGATGAAATGTTTCTAAAATACGCAATATTAATTACATAAAAACATGAGTGAGACAAAATAAAATAATTTGATAGCGGTTATTTCAGAACTTTAATTATTTCCTTCTACATATTGTATATTTTGTTTATCTAGACAGCAAATAAAACTAAGTAATTACTCAGTGAACGCTACCTACATACGTCATAGAGTTATGACATAAAAATGACTTTATTGATGAGCTTCGAATGACAGTACTGACCTAACTTTGACTTTTATATGTCAAAATTGTGACTTAAATATTACGTAAATATTATGTCTTATCCCTATCATATGTGTGACGCTAGTTACTTAATTATTTCGACCCTTTTTATTTCGGAATCGCAACAAACTTTTTGATTTATTCTTTTTTATTAGAATGGAATGGAGATCTTTTACAGCCTAAGCCTAAGAATAAAAAAATACCTTTAATAACTAGTGAAGAATTGTCTTTAATAAAATAATATTACACATTTATATTCTTATTAAAATATTTTCAAAGAAGACGATATCGTAATTCAGTGATAATTAGACGAAAATGTTTAGACATAAATATCTAATCTAAAAAGCCTTGGAAAGCAATAAAAACATTTTAAAGGCCAATGTCATGCAAATTTAAGGAATAAGTATTCTAAGCCTGATAGTCGCCTGACATGTTTTTTTGAAAAACAGAATGGTTATGACAACTACCTCTTACCTCAATAGATGGCGTGCTATCATTTTTTTGAGTCGCGATATGGTTTTGTTACTCATGCAGATTTATTACTGCGCTCTTATAACTTCATGTAAACTCTGGTTTCCCTTCATCTTTCGCTTTTCACTAAAGATTTTGTGAGATTTTGGAAGCAACTTTACATCACTATATTAACTCACATTTATGTCATCTTGACGTCAGCTATATGACAAGTGGAACGTCAGATGAAGTCATTTTTTTGTAAGCATCCGGTAGCAACTTTCCACACAACAGTCTTACGTCAGGATGTGGGTCATATATGACATATCTTACGTAAATCATGACGTGGCATGACGTCATTCTGACATTTACATAATTGTGCTCACTGGGTATGTGCCTACCTAAAAAAGATTTTTATCGTGCGGATGTGTCTGCCATTTTTTTGCTGAGGAAGGTAGGTTTCTCTTTATTTTAGGTGCAGTTAAAAAAGAGGGTTTAAAATCAGTACATAGACACATAAATAAAACATTATTTTTAGTGTTAATGTAGCAGTGACACAATATGGTAGGGAATATGGCCATTCTCCTTTGAATAAGTAGGTTCCAACCCTAATGATGGAATATTAAGAAATAAAAAACATTGAATGTTTTACAATTGATCATAATGTAAGCGATATGAAGGCAGTGGTACTTTTTTAAAGGTAATTATTATTAATGTAAAATTTCAAAAAAATGATCGAATTCCAGTAAAACTAGAATTTTGTAAAAAACTTAATTTTTTCGATTAAATAATATTGAATTTATTTATTGTAGTACTTTAAGTAGTTGAAAATATTTAAGCCGTATGATGGTTTTGTGATTGTATTCTAGTCAATGTTAATATAAGCTACGTTATTATAGAATTAAGCATGTTTTCGTCTAGTTTCAAACCGTGTGGTTAATGTAAATGAACTATGTACATACTTAATATTTTGTAAATTAATATAAATCAAAAAAATATAATAATCATATACATTTAATGTATGTTGCACTTCATGGTTGATACTTTGTTCTTATTGCTTGCGTCATTGGTCCATAGAAAATGAGTATTTCTTAAAAAGATTTGGAAGTATTTAGGTCCTCGTGATAATGTCACGTGATTGATTTAAACAATATGATACTTTAGAACAATAGTACAGGCTGTAGGGCGCAAAATAACTTCATATTGAAAAAAAAACCGGCTGGATGTTCAACATGATAATTCGGGTAAAAGTAGTATTTAAAAAAATACTTTTAAATAAATCGGTTTGTGGCAAATTATTGAAAAAAAAAACGAACAGGTGCGAAAACCGGTTTATTGAAAAAAAAAACAGATAAACAATTTTTATGGAAAAACAAAAAATATAAGGTTGTACGAGTAGTGTGAGAAAAAACAAAGAAAATGAGAGTTGCTGCAGTCAAATTCGTTAAAAACTTTACGTTGCAAAGTGCGATTTTTTTTGAGATAAAGACTTGTTTACTCGTTAAGTTTTAACGAATTTAATTGCAGCAACTCTCATTTTCTTCGTTTTTTCTCATACTACAACCTCTTATTTTTTGTTTTTCCGTTATATCCTTGTCTCGCACCTATTCGGATTTTTTTTCAATAACCTGCTACAAACCGATTTTTTCTTAAGTATTTTTGTAAACTAATACTTTTAACTAATATTTTACCCGAATTATCACGTTGAAAAATCAGCTTATTTTTTTTCGATCTGAACTTTCTAAGCCTGTACTAATTGTAATAGTAGTAATAAAGCAATGAATCATTTTTGCATGAGTACAATGACGCAGAAAAATTTAAGAATTAAAAAGAACGAAAATTCAACCATGTACTGAACTACATAGGGGGCGTCGATTAACTACGTGAGGGGTTTTCGGTGATTTTCTGAGCCACCTCCCGCTCTGGTGAGATGTCGTGAGATTTGATTCAACCCTCTCCCCCATTCCCCCAATCTCATGTGAGATTTTTAAAAATGAGTTTTTAGTGGCGCGTAAATAAACGAAGGGCTACTGTGCAACTTCGATGCACTCGCAATGCCATGATAAATATTATTGTAAAAGATTTGGCCTTATTTCCGTAGAGGGACATGTTTTATTTTATTTAAACTTTCTCGAAATTTTACACAAAGTAAGATTAGATGAGATTCGGCTCGACCCTCTCCCCCCTGAACGTCTCACGTAATTAATGAACGACCCCTTAATACTTATTAAGATATAATGTATAAAGGTAATTAGATTTCAAGTAGTTGCATCAAAAATGTAATATCATTAGAAAGTGTAACGATTTCAAAAATAAAAATCAAATGTAATACCTGCTACGTTACACGCGAAGCATATTTATTTCATCTCAGAGAACTTAGAACGTCTGTTTTAGAGAATTTCTGCATGGATTGAGAACCATTCCGTAGGCAGTGAAGTCTTGCCTCAAATTGCCTTCGTATTGAATTTTGTATCAAATTTTATATTATGTATATATTTTTATGACCTACTGAGCTTACTCTTAACAATTAACAAATCTTCCTTTTTAATTTAATTTGTACTAATTTGGACACGATACTAGGCCAGCCTACAATTTTTATACCAAATCACTACAAACAAAGAAGTGGCCGAATTTTATGAACTTAGTTATTATTTAATTGACTACCGCTGTCTAAGGACGCCTGCAACTCAATAAACACAAATGCATCGTCGCCCTCTGCGGCCCCAGAGTTAGAGTTGAAGGTAGTTGAGCCTGCGGTAACATAACTCACTCGGTGTAAAATATACAAATAATTTTTTAACACCGGTTTTGTGTGATGCCGTGGTATCGCTCCCGTTAAACCAGGCGTTTTATGCCAAAACATGGCTCTCCGAGAATGTGCAAGCCACAGATTATTTACATATATATTAGTTAATACCTTGTGTATATATTTTAATATTGGGCTTACTTTTATCTGTCAGCTATGTTTGGTAGGTGATCCGCAACTCACACCTAGTAAGCAGTTATATCTCAGTTTGGCAGAAGGTGAAACTTGTTTTAATATGAGAAGCAGATCCTCGAGGTTAAGATGCTGATACGTTACTGTTCGCTGCACTTAACTGGATCTACGCTTGAGAGATACTTAAAAAAAAAATTCGTCGGCGTTTTATAGCACATATAAATATCAGTACTAACGAACGTACACTCAGAACACAAATAATTATGTTCAATACCTAATTAATGATATAAGGGGTTGAAAGTCGCAAGGCCTTGCTTTTGCTACGATCAATAAAATTACAGTCACGTCTGTAATCGTTATCACTCAGGAATCAATATTTTCTTTTTTTTAAATAGATAATTATGAAATGAAACGGTCCTCAACGGTCCAGGTTACTTCTTTGGTACAAATCAAAATGATGGGATCATTATGATTATTCGTAAAAACTGTGACATGAAACATGAAAATTTGATTGTTTATATTCTTCGACAGTAATAGAGTATGTTGGTACCATTCAAGCAGGTTGCTTGACTTAAAATTGCTCATAGAATAACGGTAAGTAAATAAGTTCTAAGTTACGTAGGTGCAAAAACCTTCTTTGTCCTGTTTGTGCTTCGGAAGAGGAGTCACCTGTTTGCAAACAGAGATATGGTGAGAGTAGAATTTGCCACTACTTTGGTTAGTTACGGTTTTTTTCCAAAAGCATAGATGAAATTAATTAATTAATTATTTTTTTCTTGTATTCCTTCGATTAATTAATCAATTAATTAATCAAATTAATTCATTGAAGGTATACAAGATCCTGGTATGATCGAAAGAATTTTCTTTCTCTCTTTCTTTCTTTCTTTATCTGGTACCAATTTCATCAACCTCATTTTTCAATTAAACTCATTAGGTGGTAATGAATTTAAATCGCATCCGTAGAAGAAAAACTCTTATGAAATAGAACCTCAATGTTGGTTTGTAAATTGATTGAGCTACTGAACCAGGCAATAGACAGAAACAGTATCTATGAGACAGGATCATAAAGAACAGACAGAAGTCGGAATTCTCGTGGCCTTGTTGCCATTATAGGAAAAAGGCCATTAGTGGGAAAATAATCAAAAACGGTGTAGTTCCTTTTTTTATTTTAAGTAATAAGTTGTCATATATTTATATCAAATCTTTTTAATATGCCATATTTTTCGTTTTGTACAAACATTATACAATACAAGTAACAAACTTAAGTTATTATTATCTAAACAAATAGTCTTGCATTGATATATTTATTATGATATGTTCTTTTAAAATAAATTGTTTATTTTAACTTTATACACATTTTCATTAATAATTGTTCATAGCACCAATATTTACTTACAATAGCCAAATATTTTTTGATTGGGAGTAGATTACAAAATAAGAATTCCTAACTATGTTTTGGGGCCGAATTTTAGTATAATAATTTTTGTTTGAGTTACTCAATGGCCAAAGATGGCACAAAAAATTAGTCTTTTTTAGAAACTTTTTATAACCAAAGTATATGAAGTGACAACTATAAAAAGGACGTCATCGGTAGAGAAGAACCTTAACAATATAAAACTAGAGATGAAACGGATAGCTGCATGACTGAATACCGGATATCCCGTCACCCGAAATGGATATTATATTTTTTTTATCTTGAACATCAAAAGATTGTTGCTGTTTCATCTCTAAAGAAAACCATTTTTTATATTAGTGATAAACTTTTACTTAAACTACAATTATACCAAGCTAACCTACTTCTAAGTCTTTATTTGTGAAAACTGACCCTTTAACACTTTTTATATTTATATTATTAATGTAAATAAAATCTACTTCCAACGTACTGTCTAAGTTAAAATGCCTCGGATCTATCGTAAGTAACATAATATATATAGATATAGCACAAATTGTTACTGGCAACACTGAAATACCAGTAAAAAAAGAAATCGCATGTAAAATAAAGTTGCGTATCAAATATGTGATACGGATACGGCTTCTTTCCTCTAAGGGCATTGTAGGTTATTATATTTTTGTGTGTAGGTAACACACAACGAATTCTTTTTAAATGTTAACGAGTTGCCAATATGATGATCACAGAAAAACTAAAATAATAGTAGTACCTACTTAATTACAGATTACAGGCGTTTTACGATCTAGTCTAGGCTTTTTCGTTTTTATCTTCAATCTGCGTTGCAAATCAACACAATTATTATTTCCTTTAGGACAGTAAGGAGATTTTATTAACCGGTAACCCTAAAGTGACACTAGCACCTCTTTTAAATTGATCTCCATGCGTTCTAGGACCTTTGTTACAGTGGCTCAAACAAGATAAAACTAGGAATAGTCATTTAATGTTTATTTTTATAACTAGTTTTTTCTCAATAATTAAGTTTGCAGTGTTTAAAAAATAATGTCGTTAAGGTATCATACGCATCTAAACAGTTTATGTTACGTTTTGAACATTCGTTCAAAGTTCTATATAATTCAAATATGTCTTTTAAAGATACTACAACTATTTAGAACGTTGTAATGTTTATGGAATAAGATGAAATATTTCTAAATTCTAAAGTATAAGGTTTGAACGTCATCAAAAGCAGCGATTATTTATTAAATACTCTGTTAAAACTATAATACTCTAAGTTATCTATGCAGACCACAGAGTAATATACATACATATGATAACGTAACGGTACTCAAATTTATGATTTCCTTTAATTCGATAGATATTCAATTTTGTTAAAGTGACTGAAAAAAATATTAAACGCTATGAAGTATTTATATAGAAAAAGTTAGAGAGCAACACGAGGGTTCGATGAGAGGAATAACCCGGTCGACGGCAACGCTAGTCCCCGTTGAGGAGGTGTGAGCGCCTAGAGGCACTTGGCGTCGTGCTGCTCGCACCAGCCGGGCGCGATGGCGTCGGGGCGCAGGCCGCGCGCCAGCAGGCGGCCGCGCTGGCGCTGCAGGCGGCGCTCGGCCGAGTACACGCTGGCGCTGGGGTCCGACCACAGCCGCTCCGCCACCGCCGCTGCGCGGGGCCAGATGCGAGTGTCTGGCGGGGACACAGATAGCGTTACACACTTACAGATATAAGCATAGACTGAACGAGAGCCCCAATCTGGCATATCGGCAACAAGAGAGAGATGGATAACAGAGAGATCCCTCTATATCTTTCTAGACGAGCTCTGTGGGTGGCTGGCGAATATGAGGAGTTAAAAATTAGCCAATTATCTAAACAGAGGGAAATATCGGGCATCCATCTCTTTCGTTACCTGTATCACTTTCACTTACCGACAGATGATTACATATTCGTTTTCAGAATGTCTACTATTTATAGCATAAATGAAAAGTATTTCTTGTTTATCGATACCATTTCCTTCCTTTCGCTTTTCTACTACAGATAACAGGAAAAAAACTAGTTTCGTGAAAAATAACGAAGTGTAACGGGTAAATCCTGGGCAATTTGCCCAATAACGCATGCTACCCAATTTTCTAGCACACTCATTAATTAAATCTAATATAGTTTGACTGATGCTCAAAAATCACAATCAATTTTTACGTATGGCATTTTTATGAGTAACAATTGATTATCTGTTCTGGCAATACCTACAATCGCCCAGTAAGTACGTTTTAGCTACACAAATAAATAAAACAGACTCAAACAAGATTCTTTTATGAGACCTGATAATGTAATAATGGCAAAAGAAGAATTTACTTAATACTTCAATCAAAATTCTATGAAATGACCTAGCTCATCACTCACTCATAATTCACTTTATGAAAGTATTCTATAAAGTTGTTACTACAATGATTCTAATTTGTATTTACTGTACTTTAACATACGCTTAACAAAATTTGATACCTATTGCTACAACTGCAATGAATACAAATAGTAAAATAAAACCTACCTATTCCTTCTTTATCCACATACTCAGTCCACATTGCCACCTCACCGCCCAACACATTTTCTTCCCTTGGCAACATATGGGCATACATCCGTCTCCAGTTGGAATACTTTGTCACACCCCAGAGACCGTGGTCCAGGTACCAGATGTCTTTAGGTACGGATACTACCCGGTAATGCATCTTTATAAGTTGTTCTAAGAGTGGGCTATCCACTGGCTCCCAAACTTCGATAACGTACCTGAAATTTAATAAAATAAATTACATAGAAATATTAAGCTTAGAGGGCACAAACTACAAGGCAACAATCACTTCGAGATAGAACACGCCCCTGACCTACTTAATAATAATATTAATGACTTCATACATCTCACACAAGGCCGTCTGATCCTAAACTAGGCAGAGCTTGTACTATGGTAACCAGGCTGATGATAAATATACTTATATTATTTATCATAGTTAACACCCAGACACAGAACATCATCACACAATTATTTGTCCTGGGTTTGAATCGAACCCACGACCTCACTAATGCCAATGCTAAGGCCAACAGGCTAGACAAGCCGATTCATATATTCCATTTCTACCTTAAAAAACATTAATTTATTACTTCTAAAATATATTTTTTACAAATTAACGTGATCTTATAAACTCACCTCTCATTACTTAGATGCTGCTGGATCCTACGAACCTGTGTCAATTCTGAAGACCACAACATAACAGGTTGTTTCGTTCCACCTGCCGCTTCTAATTCTTCATCCCAAGCCTGCAGCGCCTTTTCATGGAATTCAGACCAGAGGTCTATAAATCCATTTAAGCTAATCTCATAGTTTTTCTGCCTCATATAGTCTGTAATTTCCTCACTGGCATTCCAGCAATTGAAGAACACCTAAGGAAATATAAAATGAGCAGTGAATGAAATAATCTTTTTTGTGTAAATTGATGTCGGAGGCCAAAACCTAAGTAAGTGGACTGGCTGTTGATGATGATGATGATGTCCAGTGCATTTTATTCTGGATTCTTTTTTCACTTTATTAAATGAGGATCCTAATACAAGTTGTGGTACCGCAAATCCTTGAAAGTCCGAGGCCCAAAGTCAAATACCTACGGTATTTTATTCCAAATACAAATAATTGTACTTTCTAGGTTCTTTAAAAAAGCTTTATTTATCTATACATATAATAATAATATGCAACAACAATATCTTCACACATCTCACACACGGCCGTCTGATTCCAAACTAGACAGTGCCTGTACTATGGTAACCAGACTGCTGATAAACATACTTATATATTTAAAAATACATACATATTTTAAATAAATAACATCCAGACACAGAACACATAACCGTAATCACACAATTATTTGTCCTGGGTGGGAATCGAACCCACGACCACTGTCAGGGTAGCAGTCAGGGTCACTAACCACTAGACCAACAGGCCAGTAATATAAAATTAATAAATATGTATGAAATTACTTGCCCTAACTGATTGATTGTTCAACGCAGAACCTAAACTGCTGGGCTACAAACTTGAAATTGTGGCAACTGATACTTGTTATGCTGTTGGCTTATTGTGTGCTGTTGCCTAAGAAAGGATTTTTGGAAATTTCACCCCTTTTTTTTTCCGTGCGGAAATCCCCTCGGATACCACCTATCATGTGGTGGTGGCATGTCGGACACGAACCGACTAAAACCGCACGCCGTCTCGGGTACTAATAGCCGGGGAACCAGGTATACCCTAGAAATGAAGTCATGGTGCCCCGACATACCTCGGGCCATCTACAACAACAGGTAGACGACCCCCCCCCCCCCCCGTGTGGGAACCCCATGTTCCCACTGCTCCCTGGAAGCGAGCGCGCTTCGCATGGAAATTTCACCCCTAAGGGTGTAAAATATGGAAAGAATGGTTGTATGGACGTTTATGATTTTCAAGGTTAAAAAAACGAAAAAGGAAATAATCACGCGAATGGAGCCGCGGACAATAGCTACTCACGAATAAACTCGAAACTAATTTATCCATATTATTGAAGTATTAAATTGTTGAATGTTGCACAAAATGTAGTACCTCAACGCTCTTTCTCTTATTTAAATATCTACTAACCTCATCACCACCCATATGCAGCAACGCTGGTTTTGTCACCATTTCAGCGATGTCCCGATACAAGTCTCGCAGTACGCGATACATAGCAGGATTGGCTGGGTTGAGCTGACCGCAAGGAGGCTGAATGCACAAGTGACGCCAAGCATTCGCGTTAACACACACGGCCAAATCCCCGTAACCGTACTCCTGAAAAAAATAAAACCGTAGTTTGAAGAAATAGATAGAAGATAAGAAGTACTGTAACAGCGTATCAATTAATTCCATTAAATAAAAATTATGATTTTTGAGTTTTTTTATGCTATAAGGGATTTTTTGCACGGGGGACTTTTCAAACATGAAACCAACACAAAAAAACACACACACTTACAATAACAATTTGTAGATGACACAAAGTGTCGTCCCATGAGGGGATCGAACCCACAACACTCAGTGTAGTATTAAGCGGCGTGGCGACCGTTTAAACCACTACGCCGTTCATGCAGTCAATAAGCAAGAAGACATGTTACCTGATGAACCTTTAACTTTATTCACTCAGCAACGAAACAATTAATCACAGGTAAGATATGTTATGAAACGTAAAATAGTTATATTAATAATAGAAAAATATTAACAGTTACAAGTGTAGAACACGTAATTAGGTGTTAGAGGTACGTCTTCTAAATTTGATTTATACTTTTAAAATATTTTCATTATATAAACTAAATTATGCCAATTATATTAAGACTAGACTTAAATTTGTTAATACTTAATTCATGGCATTTGCTTGGCACTTTATTGTAAAATCGCACATCCTGACAACGAAAAGACTTGCTTACTTTTTGTAGTCTAGTGGTTGGTAACACGAGTTTATCTTTATTTCTAGTGTTTTTTTATGAATGTCGCTAAACTTTGTGAATAAATGATTATTTTTCTTTACATGCACTAAATTTTCATTCATGTATTGAGATGTATGTATAGATGAGATAGATGTATGTATGTAATGACACTCTATACAGGACATCCTCATATGGGGCTCAGCGTGTTTATCGGAAATACAGTGACATTATACCTAATCTGTTGATAAACAGATGTTTTGATTCAGTGAATTACGTCTCAGTAAAATTGACTACGAGGCGATCGCAAAGAGTTAATCCTATTATAGGTTTATCAGTAAGTATCAATATAAGTGGTAATATTCATTATGTAAACATTTACAGTGGAACTATGTGGGACGTAAATACTTTTGTAAATACATAAGTTTAACAAGTTTACCGTTGTGTGTTAGTGAAACTTGTCGCAGAAGTGAAATGAGTTAAAATAATCGCATTGTACATAGAGCGACGTGTTAAGTTATTTACATTATACATTTATATAATTCAATTTATTGTAGTCCTTGATAAAAACTATTTAAAAGATAAAATTATAAGAAAAATAATTTTATAGAATTAATTACGATATTATGTAGGGTATTTACCTTTCCCCATTGCCATCCGTTACCAGCATGAGCGGGCGCATCGATCTCTATGACTACACGGACGCCGCGAATCTGTGCATATTTTATGAAATCCCTCACTTCTTCCACGGAGTAAATCTCCTTTGCGGAATATGCTCCATACCTTGAAATTAAAGCATTACGTACATACATTAATATCATCCAATTTCAAGAGCACCCTCAATTTTGCATTACCCCATCATCCTTATGTGTAAATAATAATAATTCATAAAGATTGTCAATCTTTATGAATTATTATAGATTATCTTTGTATATACCTCGTAAACTGCGGTACTCTACTAGATTCCAAAGGGAAACTATGTGTGTCAGTGACGTGCCAGTGGAAGACGTTCATTTTGTTAGCAGCCATTCCGTCAATAGTCCTCTTGATGTCAGTCATCGGGATGAAGTGCCGGCTGCTGTCTAGTAACAAGCCTCTATGCCTATACACTGGCCGATCACGAATTCTTGCACCGGCGACTATTTGAAGACCACATTTTTTCTGATTGGAGTAATCAGACTTCTCTGATGCAACCAATTGTGTAAAAGTTTCTAAAGCGTGACGAGCTCCATACACTGTCTCTGCCATGATGTATACTGTTATTTGTCCCTCTGTAATATAACAAAAGATTTGCGATTTACTTCAAATATTCAAACTTGTTAAGCGATTTTCTTGACGCTTCATCTCAGTCAGTTGTCATTTGGAAGCCTCAGTAGAAGCACAAAAAAAGGACTAATCAAAATAGTCATGAGGCTTCAATGATAACTAACTTTACCTTTTAGATATTTAATTTTTATTTAATTTTTATTAGGGTTCCTTAGCCTAATGGTAAAAAATGGAACCCTTATGGATTCGTCATGTGTATCTGTCTGTCTGTCCGTCCGTATGTCACAGCCACTTTTTTCCGAAACTATAAGAACTATACTGTTGAAACTTGGTAAGTAGATGTATTCTGTGAACCGCATTAAGATTTTCACACAAAAATAGAAAAAATAAAGCAATAAATTTTGGGGTTCCCCATACTTAGAACTGAAACACAAAAAATTGTTTTCATCAAACCCACACGTGTGGGGTATCTATGGATAGGTCTTCAAAATTGATATTGAGGTTTCTAGCATTTTTTTCTAAATTACTAACTAAGGTAAAACGTGCCCCCCCCCCCCCTGTAACATCTAAAAAAAAAGAGAATCATAAAACTAAAAAAACTATGTGACGTACATTACCATGCAAACTTTCAACGAAAATTGGTGTCAACGAGATATAGTAAGTAGTTTTTTTAATATGTCATAAATCAATAACTTAAATAAAAAAAAAATACACTGTTATTAAAACATCGATTAAAGTTACAACGAACTACAAGAACTTTTATATTATGTTACTTGCTGCTACGGAACCCTTAACGGGCGAGTCCGACTCGCACTTGGCCGCTTTTTTTACGCTAATAATGCTACTAAACTATCGATAGAACAACAGAAACTTACTGTATCTCGTCTCCTGTTATAGTAATTAAGCAATTCTAATGATAAAATTGAGATGATGGGCACCAGTCAAAAGTTACTAACCTTTTGATGCTAGATCAAGCATATATTGCTCTTCAGTTTCCCAATGGAGAGATGTGTCGGCAGATTTCACGCTTATGAAGACAATTACAGGCGTCTCCACAACCTCTGTGACTTCGCCATCGCACTCTGCCAGCAGATTCGAACCCACAACTTGAGTCATTGCAGCCATGATCTCCCGAGCTTCAACAGGAACTTTTTCCAAGTCGAATCTACGGATAGAAATATTATAAAAATGTGACTCCTTCTGCGTTTAAATCAGTTGCGTAAAATGTCTAATTCAAGTAAGTTCTTTACATTATAACAGGCATAAATGTTGTTGACGTTGCAGATAGTAACCGACAGTTCTTTAAATGGGAAAATGTTCCAAGGGAGTTAAAAAGTTTGAAGCTACTTGTGTAAATACTTATTATATATTTATAGTTTTCATAATAATATGTTTCCGATTTGTTTTGAGTCAACTAACGGCGTATGTCTGTGATTGGGTGTATCCAACGTTATAACAGAAGATCAGGTCATCACTGAACCCACAGTAATCTTTCAATAAATGCTGGATAACTTATAGTTTAGAAAAAAATTAATTGTGGAATCCACAACAAAATTATAAATGGTATATTATATGGTATAATGATAATGGTAATGGCAAAAATAACACATATTCATTTAAGCACAGAACGAAAACTATGCATATTTATTAAAAGCTTTTTTCAAATGTTTTTCAAGCATTGCAACTTATGCCCTTTTAAGTCTGACCATAGGGTATCTTTTCTGTTTTCATTCATTTAAGTGCATACCTACTGTTTGAACTCAAACTAAACTTTGAACTGACTCAGTTTCACAGCTAAACATATGTCGTTATACATATTATGTATATGACCTACCCATATTCCACAAATCTATATTTATTGTACGCGAAAGGAGCGATGTCATAAAGAGAAGATTCACACGATATAACAGCACAAGTGGGCGGTTTGTAATGTGCCATAACCGAAGTTGGCGATCACGACTGTCAAATAAATGATCCCGAGCCGAGAGCGTAGGTCGAGGAACCGTTAGTACTCACGGCTGGGCCATTCACCCCTTAGTGTTTATCATCTTCAATTTACCTTTATAACTTTTGCGCTGTTTAGGTATGTTATTTATAAATGTTTATTATTAATTAGTGCTAATAAAGCTTTATCAATGGTAGGGAAAAACTGTTTTACAATTTAATATATCGGCACATAAATTTCGAATAACCAAACAAACAGAAGAAAGTACTGAAATGTTGTAACTATGAACTATCTTTGTGTTGCATCACACCAATATTATAAAGGCTTGTTAGTATATGTGTTTGTATGTTGGTGAAGAACACGCTCAAACGGCTGGCCCAATTTCAATAAAATTTTGGTATGGATTTAGCACTCTGCATTAACTACTTTTTATCCTAAAAAAATGTATATACAACCGCGGTATATACAACTATTACTAACTAAAGGGAATTGAAAGGCTTCATTTCAAGGGTGGGCTTCGCCTGACCAGGGCTAGGCTACAGACGACATGTCTTTGAATTACCTGGCCGTGGTCAGATATGAAGTGCGTTAATTCCTGTTAGTTAGTAGGTAATAATTATATATCATAAAACGCGAATGATCGAAGCTAAGATGTTTATACATATGTGTAGATGTGTAATGTGATCAAAATTGAACATCCATAGGCTACCAATTAAAAGTAAATAGTCGTAATGAAAACTTGTCCATTTCCTTAATTAATTTATCATTCTTAATAATCATTATTTGATTATTAAGAATGATAAATTAAGTTAATATTAATATTAAGAATGATAAAGTGTTAGATTTGTCAATTGGTAGTAGAGTCAGGAGTATATCATAAACTATGCAAGGACTTACTACCTCATCATCGAACGTTGAACTCTAAGGTCAAATGTAAATATTGGCACATTTAAGATGTATAACGATCGAGGCAGTTGACCCTTAGTAAAGAGTCGATGAACTCATATAATTATATATCCATATCTTTGAATTCTCATTATAATACTGCAAGAAATCCTTATGTAATACGTTGACATATTATATTGATTTGTACGTACAATACGTATTTCAGATTTAGCGTGAATGGATACGATGGCAATACCAGAGAACTAAGAGCATATAACAGACTATATACAATTAATAGATTGAATTGGATGATACTGTAAATATTTATTTATAAGATATTAAATTTTTGTATATAGCTGCACGATCTGGACAGATTTTTTGTATTTTAATGAAAAATCTACGCTTATAATTGTATCCAGTAACTGTCCGATATTTATAAATCTTATGGGTCTTTTTCCAAAAGATGACGGGTCCTGTCACGGACACAGACGGGCAGCTCGCTTGACATTTGACCCTTGCATATTCACGTTGATGTTACTTAGACTAAATCAAATTCAAAGTAAAAAAAAAGTACTGCCATTCTTATTACAGCCTCCAGCACGACAGAGGAGTATTTGCTATGGAGTTCTCAAAAATGAAAGCCCTATATGAAATTGAATTCAGGATTTGTTGGGGGTAGCGAGTACTTATTTTTTGCACAGCTTTAAAGGGAAGTGAAAAACCGAAATTTACAAAAAATAGGTGTCGCAGTAAAGCATTCAGTATTCACAAAGCGTTTTGCTTTCACCTTCGCTTAGAGAGCGAAACTCCTTGAAGACTGTTTTTTATAAGTTCAAAAAGTGACCTACAGTTGAACTATACTACTACATACATTAGACTGGTTATATTTTAGTTTTATCACCCTTATTGTACAATCGTTAATCATTGGGTTGAAAAGGTATGCAACGTTAAAACAAGAATGGAATCAGACACTTTGCCCAATCGCTACTACTACTGTCTGTCTGTGACATGGTGATACTTTGATTCTTGAGGGAGGCTACTTTTACCGCGATAACCGACACACACGCGGGCAGAGTCACGGGCAAAGGCTAGTAATTATTTGGAACAATCTAACGTCCACTAATTACACTTGCGCGTATTTGTGGATGTCTTCGTATCAGTAAAATTAAGTTAGAAAATGATAAGTCAGATATAAAACAAATAACTATAAATATGTATAATGTGTGTGTCAAGGTGCCTTGGCTTAACGCTTGGCTAGTTGTTTTACGAAGCGTAAGATAATAATAATGGCTCTTAATGTGTTCTACCTAGTGGATGCAAAAGGAATACAACATACTATATTTAATGAGACTACTGAATACTTGAATTTAAAGAGTTCGCTGAATTCTGTTTGCCATAAGTTCTATTAGGAATCAAATAGGTATGTATAATATTAGTATATTAAAAGTCTTATTCAGAAACACGTGATTTTCTATATTTTGTAAAAACAATTTAATTAACTTTTCTTAAAGCATGAAAAGCTTAAAAAAATCGAAACAATCATTCTCTCTTCATTATAATAATCAATTTTATCACTGATTTTGAACCATCCCTTTATAGATTTATCGTCTACAAACCGAGCGTTAGAAATTTAACACGATTTTATTGATCGAGACCTTGTCGTCCAAGACGCAACATGTGCAAGAAAGACCTCAACTATATATTTTCATAACGCACAATGGGGCCAAATCCCAAAAAAGCTGCCCAAAAATAGAAAAAGTTTTTTAGGGACTTTTTCTGTAAAGTTGGCTTAAGAGATATCCCTAGAGTCCAAAACCACTATTCTTGAGGATGCATTTGCCATATCTGCTTCTGGAATCCAGTTCAAACGTAAACGGTGAAGGGGGTAAATTTTGTGAATTTTGCAAAATTCGTAATCAGCGACCACGAAAACCCCCGAGAGAGTAATTTCGGATGACCTTAATTTTTAGGCTTTTAGCCAGCTTTTTTGGATTAGGTCCCACTGGACCTATAGACGATAGGGTGGCTAGCAGAAGTGGAGAAAGGCTCACACCACGCCGTGCTGAGCCTACATGTCTTTAGACTGATGAAAAAGACTTTTCGAGGTGTTAAGACTGTTTGTTTGTGCAAATGTTTACATCACGCCACTTTAATATTTATGTAAGAAATACTTAAACCTACGTACCTATATATCGCTAGTAGCTAAATCGCATATACATATGTAGATTACAATATCTGATCTATCTCGTAGCGTATCTACACTCATACACATACAAAGATAGCGGTATCTAGAAGTTACGGGATATATTTAGAGCAGTCTGTTAAACTCTTGGATGGCACCCAGCACACGAAAGTGTTTATTCCGGTTAGCCCTTTCTATACAATCTTGTTGTGGCTGATATCGTCTGTGTTACGTTTATTTATTTTAAACAATAGTATTTTGAAAAATTCTGAAATATTATGTAAAGTAAAGTAGTGCACCATATTATGATACTGTTATCAATGGTAATTTTCTTTACACAATTCACTTCTTTATTGTCTTTAAAAATAACACCGATTATGTTATCGCTTGGAATAGTCATGTTTTTAATTACGTTAGGTCGTTAGGTAGGTAGGTTAAATAGGTCGGCTTTCCTAAGTGGCGAGAACATTGAGATAAGATTAAATATTTAGTTATTTGTTATGGAACAATAGTGTTTAAGGTTTTTTAAATATAATCTAGGCAAACAAACATTTGGCTCGCATGATGGTAAATGGTTGCCATAGCCTTGTATGGTTAGATATAAGACCAGAAGCACTGCTATCGCAAGTTAAAACCTTTTAATAAAATTTGTCAGGACTTTTTGAAGAGTTTGTCCCACTCGCCACAATAACTCAACAACGAAAGTGTAAGTGGTCAGTCCTAGTCGGTTCTGGTGACGAAAATTCTAACAGCTCGACAACTCAATTCGAATACAAAACGACAGAGAAAAATCCAACAAAGTGTTTTACAAGACTTTTGCAATAAGATTTTAATTTATCTTTCCCTTACTGTTGTGTTGGTTTCAGCCAAATATTGAGTATTCATAGATCATATTTCCCGAGGAGTTTTTGATTCAAAACTCAGGGACGAAGTTCTTGTAAACTATTCCTCCTATCAAGTACGAAGGTCTATTATGGTTTAATTGTTCTTTTTTTCTCCTGCTATTACAGTGGCATATAAATATAGCTATACCTAAGTACATACTCTGATTTAACCTTGTCTAGTACTTAAAACTTGTCTAATATTTAAACTTACACAACAAACGTGGGAAATAAACAACCTATTCCATAAAAGGTTACAACCGTTGTACCAT